GTCTAAGTATAGCAAAACTCTATGACATCAAGCTAAAGAGCCACAGCAAATGCCAAGAATTTATTGAACAACAATGTCCTCTGCTGGCAGGAACTAGGCTCAACTTATAACACTTAACTGCATTGCAAGTTCTGCCCTGGGATTCTGGGGACATCGTCATGAATACATCATTAAAGGTCTGAACAGGAAGGAAGGAAGGTTTAGATTAGATATAAGGAAGAAGCTCTTCCCTGTGAGGGTGCTGAGGCGCTGGCACAGGGTGCCCCGAGAAGCTGTGGCTGCCCCATCCCTGGCAGTGTTCAAGGCCAGGTTGGACACAGGGGCTTGGAGCAAGCTGCTCTAGTGGAAGGGGTCCCTGCCTGTGGCAGGGGGTCGGAACTGGATGAGCTTTAAGGTCTCTTCCAACCCAAACCAGCCTGGGATTCATTCTATGAAAATCAACATTAGGATAATTTCAACACTATTTGGATAATCCTGTCTGGTTCACCTCGCATGAGGGCAGAGGCCAGGGTATATTCAATACATAAACCTCTGATCATAGCAAACATATGTGAGGATGATCCAAGATAAACCTATGTGACTTCAAGCCCCAGTGAATGGAGCAGCAACATGGAAATGGAATCCAGATTCTCCCCTCAGCCTCATTGCTTATCCTCCATGCTTACCTTCAGGCAAATCAGGTCTCTTCCATCTATCCAGCTTTTGAAAGCATCACAACAGTGAAGGCATCATTTGTTCAGCTAGACATTACTACAAAAAGGAGCTGAGGTGCTTTCAAGAGCACACAAGTGACACAGGAATCTGGGATTTATTTGTGTTAGACACAAAGACTATTCAGGTTCTAGAAGAGACTTACAGGCCTTTACCTGACCTGGGTGCTCCCACGAACTCCAGCAACCACCTAACTCCTGTTAATCCTCTTTAAACACAGTGGAGTTGACAGCTGCTTTGCTGGGCTCCTCCATGTCCCTATGTGCTGATTCTGAAGAGCTTATGTTTTGGTAATGCTTCCCTAAATGCCTGCTCCGATTCTCATGCAAAAACCAGTGTACCTGAAACCCAAGTGTAGGTTTACTGCATCAGGTTGCTGGAAACAGAGGAAGCAAAAAGCAGCCAAAGGGAAATTCTCCATGTTCATTCCTAGCAGGAGCTGCCCAGTGTTCCTCAAACTCCTTCTATGCCTCAGAGAGGCAGCTGCACAATCATATATGAATAAAACCTCATGAATCCCAATTATCATCAGGATTTAGCATTATTGTAGTTCTAGTTAGCTCTAGGATCTAACTATAACCCTAAAAGCACCCGACCACACTGACAGAGCTTGACAAGTCTGTTGCAATTCAGGAAGGTAAACAAGAGTTATCCAACATATTTATAGCAAGACCAATAAAGCTTCTGGGCTCAAATACACTTTATCACAACCCCTGAGGTTTTGAGCTTGGTTGCTCTTTGCAGCTACACAAGCTGGTCTAAGACAAGCCATTACCTCTCCCAGTGAGCTCTGATGCCTTGATATCCTCAGAGTACCACAGCTACAGCACCACTACAACACTTTCTCCAGCTTTCTTCAGCATCCATCGAAAGTCGTCTGTGGAAGAAACCTCCAACACCTGCAGTGACTACTCTGTTGCTTAAGAAAGAAGCTGGGCTCAGGATAAGAGGATTGTGAATCAGTGCAATGGTTTTAAGTGTCACAATGACAGTACTTTGGCGAGGCACAGAGAAAGCTGCACTGTAAGGTTGCATGAGACAAGGTGATCAAAATAAGTGAGCAAATTCCATCACAAAAGAAGCAGAATGACTCCTAAGGATCCTTTAGCTTAGTCACCAACCCTATTTATATGTTTTAAGAGACCATAAATATTTTTATCTGCACTCAGGACACTGAGAGCTTTCCCAGTTTCTATATAAAGAAGTCATTTTGGGCAGATCAAAACAATAAAGGCCCAGGACTCCTGGATGACAGATGCCAGGATGTTAGTAACCATAAATGGTTTTCAAATATGGCCCCATCACCATCCTCCCCCCCCAGTAGCCCTTTCAAGTGGGAATTACAAATTGCTTACTTGGAGAGGAAATTTCAAACAGGCCACTTATCAAAAAGTGCCAAATAAACCTGTCATTGGGATCGAAGTTACAAACCATTCCTAAACTCTGCAGACATTTCCTGAGCCTGTGAACTCTGATCTTGGCTTCTAATAAACATGACATCAGCTCCCCAGCACTGCAGACACAAGACACATGACCCACCACTATGTTATCGCTTCCTCTGCAGTTCCTTGTAGGATCTGTTCTGAAGCACAACATCAATGGGAGACTTTCTGTGTAATTCACAACTGGGTTCGCATCAGGTCCCTAAAGGGAGGTCAGAGCAGCACAGCATGGCAGCGGTGAGCTGCAAATCTTATTGCAAGGATCCACTTAAAAGCAATCCCGAATCAGAGACCTTTGAGTTTTCCAGGTAAGTGGGTTAAGACAAGACTCCTGTTGCTGTCAAAAGACTTACTGACTCCTAACCTCTCATCCTAGAAATGGAACTGAGCCCTTAAGAGCACGGATTAAACACATATACACTGAGTAACACATGGCTACTGAGTAACCTTTCAGAACCCCTTAAGAACGATTACAATATGCTCAACGATTTCAAACGTTGCAGTAACAATCACCTTCATTCCCAGAGAAATCCCAGGGAAGGACTAGGACAGCTAAAGCTCCACAGTTTACTTCTTCCAGGAAGGCACTTCCTTTGCAACCAAGTTTTGGGTTTGAAACTGAAGTTGGAACAATAGATTTAAAAGGAAAGTTCCTGTTTATCTCTGGGCTGGATACTTGACCAAGACCCTTCCCTAACACTAGACAAAATGGGCCATCAGCTCAATAAACTAAGATCCCAATAGGCACTGAACTAGGGCTTTTGGGAAAGGCACTTAAAAAACACGTCAGGAGAATCAGGCATTTGTAAAGGTAACTTGTAAATATTCCATTTGAATACGGAATATTCACCTAGAAATGCAGCCTTTACTCCTCCCTAGAAGACAGATATTTCTTTCACACTTGTGTATCCCAAAAGACTTCCAGATCAAACACGAGTCAGAGCTGGCACAGTGTAATACACAACGAGCTGTTAAAAAGCTTTATGATTAACATATGCAACTTGCTGGAAAAGACCTCTCCAAAAGTCTCCAAGAATCCACATGGATGGTAAGTTACAGTAGATGCAGACCCAGAGAGCATGAATTCCTGGTTTTCATGTCTGTTTCCCCCCCCCTCTTCCATCCTCATCAGTTCAGAACCTGCAGTTTATAAAACCAGGGAAGTCCTGTTGGTCGGTATGGGTCAAAAAGGAGAGCTAGCTGCCCCATAGTGTAAACTGACTACCAGCATCTCTAGTCAAGTTTAAAGCTGTTGCACAGCAACAGCATTCTAGCACAAAGGTGCTCAAACATCCTCAAGGCACAGTAGCCTTGGCACATAGTGAGCCTGCTAGTTGTAACACCAATGTTTGACTCTTCTTATGGCAGGGTATACACCCTGCCATTCACTGGGACACAGAGAGGAGCTCACTCTGTCAAACAAATATACAAGGAGACATAAATATGTTATAGATACGTTATATCTATATAGATATATATAGATGTTATATCTATAGAACATATATAACATATCTATAGAACATACATCTATATAAATAGATATATATATGTATCTATATATATATATGTTATACCACTATCACAAGATTGAGCACGTCCTTGGGAATCTGCAAAGCTCAAAGCCCCTCCATGCTCTCCTGTGGGGAAGGGGAAGCCCCTTGCTCCTTAATGTTGGTGGATTTCACTCCAAGTACTTAGGAAGGGAAAAGAAACTCACAGAAGGCACAAGATCCTTGGCCTGTGTATGCCGACAATCAAAAGAAATTACCCAGTTTGTATTATCTGATCGTTCAGCCTTCTAGCTGCACAGCTGTAAAAACACATGGATTGCCCCAGTAGTAAAAAGGACTAGCAATGCTGTACCAACATCCTGGATCTGCAGCACTTCAGCAGAAGTGAACACTGAACCTTGAACTGGACTGCCGAGGAGGGCACTGCATGGGGAGGGAGCTGACTGGAGTTAGTCAGAACAGCCAGTCAAAGCCGTGCTCTTGCTAAGGGAGCCAAGTGATCTTTAATGCCCAGGAAAAATTCAGTGCTTTGGATTGAGTGACTCATGGAGCAATGCAACACCTCCTACCAACGTGCTGTGGCATTCATACCCAGAAGGAAGTGTGTCAGCTACTGAGTCATGCAGCTCCGAAGGATAGGCTGTCGCCAACCTAAACAAACTCTGCCCGGCCCTGTTCAGTCCTGATGTTACCGTAGCCCAAGGTTAAGCTCATCTCCCATGAGCTTGCTCAAATAAAAAGCTTTCTGGTTATAAACAAAGTATGATTTCCAAACCCAGGCTCCCGGGACCGTGCTTGAAAGCCCAGCAATTTCCCTGCACACACATTTAGCCTTCTGACATCAAAGCGCCTGCAATACAACCTGCTAAAGGGACTGGAAGCAAAACGGATTGGCCACTTAGGAGCAAACTTTAATATAGGAGTGGGACTTGTGTTTTTACACTACTGACCTACATTTGCAATTCCCTGGAGGTAATTTTGCCCAGCCTATAAAAAGGAAGAGCTATAAAGCCAGCTATATTAAGTTGTTATGCAATAGAGAGCACAGCTGCGCTGAACAAAAACAGCCCAGGACAAGAGGAGCAAACAAAAGCCATGGAGTTCCGTGTAGGAAAAACTAATAGGTTTCAGCTAACAAAAGAAGAGACTTTTAATTAACTTGTTCTGATTGAGTGCAAAGATAATTAAATTACAGACACAACCACAGGAGTGTAATCAGTTTAGAAAAACCCACACACCGACACAAAGGATTTTCAAGATCCATCTATTAGAAACCAGCTCTTCCTTTGTTAAATGCATTCTTGTGCTTTCTTTTAGAAGGTTCTAACTCCCGACTCGGTTTAATCAAACCCTTGAAAGACAGCTCCTGATCCAGTTCTTCTGATGTTTTGTGGTTTTCAGGTTATTTCCTTCTCTTCATGCAATGACTCGCCAATCTCACCTTCCACTTCATCAAGGTGTAGCTGCCTTTCAGCTGCACAAGGGGACTTGCATGCAACACAAGGGCTCCAAATGACAAAGCAAAAGCAAAGGGACAAAATAAGGAATCTGGGCAGAGCTACTTTGTTACAGTCAGAATATAGGGGTGGGATTTAATTCAGGGGAAGGTACAGCTCACAGCTTAAGATCGCCAAGGCTTGACAGTGGGAGCTTACTTAATGGTAAAGGGAGTGTATTTGTTAGGATGAGCATGCATCTGTGTCAAATCATAAGGGTTCTGCACTGTTCAAACTCTGGTATTCTTTAGCCAAAACAACAGCCCACCTTTCCAGTGACAGCAAAAGTCACTCATGGTTTGATCCATGAAGACCCAGTAAAGAGTTCACATCGGGTCAAAGCACAAAGGAACATGTTCAAAAGGACCATTTATACCCATAAATCAAGCTTGAAACTTCAGTGCTTTGCAAAACTAATCCAGAATACATAATCTTACCCTTAAGAATAAGGGTTCCTGTTCAGAGGAACTTAGCAAGGAAAAGGGAATCCACTGATGGTGTGCTCCTTGAGGTCTACCCAAACACATTACAGGTGCTCGACTCCTCCACAAGCAGCCACAAAACCCCTGCACACAATTCCCTGGTAGGGATAAGACAAGACAAGAAGGTGGCATTTTCCATCTGAAAGGAATCAGTTGGAATAGCATCTGCCGGCCTGTAAAACCCCAACCAGAGATGAGTACAACAAACTCCTCCTTTGCCCTTAATAAATACCACACTAAAGAATGAATGACATAAACCTGAAACCACCACATCCTCAAGCTCTCCTGCCATCTGTACAGTGCAGCTCCACTGGTCCTAATCCCAGACACCCTCATTGAAGAGTTGTGTTCCAGCAATTTCAGGCCTCTTATGGGGATATGTTTTACATGAGCAACAGGTTCCACACTTTGGCTTTAAAAAGGCCCAATACAGGTTGCTCACATCAGTTAATGAAATGCAATACCTGGTGTTTATTAAACCCTGAATGTGATGCCAAGGACACCTATCATGGCAAAAACCTTCAGTGCCTGCTGGGCTCAAACCAGTAATAACCTGGAAAGAAATAAAACCCCACTCCTTGATGGGGGCAGAGATACCATCAGGGATCTCACTTCTGTATCAAAAACAAGAGCAAGGAGGAAACTCAGGCAGGAAAGGCAAGCTTTCCTCAGAGCCCTAAATCAGAAGCGTGTTGTCTGCCCTAAGAATTAGTCACGCTGATGTGCACGTAAGGTGGTTTCACTCGTTTGTATCCTGCACACCCCTAGCATCAGGTGCAGTGGCACATGCTACCACCAGCTAAGACGCCCGAGGCCACCAGGTGTCCCCTTCCGATGCTCCGGTTGTATTCACTTACGTCCATGTAGCGGTGGTCCCTGTTAATAAGGCTGCAGTGGCATCTGCTGGTCACAGCCCGGTGAGACAGGCCGTAGCTACGTCAGCTCCCAAAGTTTCTCCCATAGAATCACAGAACCAACTAGGTTGGAAAAAGACCTTTAAGATCATTAACGACAGAAGAGCTTTTCCAGGCTTTTTGCACTCCTAGTATTTCTTCTGCTGCTGCTGCTATATCTTACTGCTGTCATTTATTCTTGTTGTTGTTAAGCTGCTTTGAAGATGTTATAGCAGTGGACATTACAGCTTCTTGTCATCAATGAAGAGATAAGGAAATACCTCAGGATGTGAATGCAGCACTCCAACCAACCCACAGTTAGCCTGTACCCTACCCGTAGCACAGCAAAAATCAGTGCCATTTTATGCCTGGCTCAGCTGGGCTGCTGAGAAAGCCTAAAAGGCCATTGCCAGCCACTGAGCCACATTTGGCCCTCCCTAGATACTTGTGTTTAGCACATCTTGCAATGTTTTTATTCCTTCAGGTCCTCAAAGATGCACGTGAATGAGACAGGATGTGATTCAGTTATAGGTAGAGAGAAAAAAAGCTGAACTCAGGCTGGTGTGAACAATTAAAGGAGACTTGTGGACATGTGTGTTATAAGAGTTTGTCACGAGGGAGTTTCTCTTACCAGTGCCAAGTTCTAACTGTGAAGCAAAACTAAGCATTGCACTGCAGCTCTTAGTCTGTGGAAAGTAAAGTATCCAACACTTGATCCTACAAAGAGAAGAGAGTTTTCTTCTGTCACAGGGAAGAAAATAACAACTGGTCCAACTGCAAGTGCAAGCACAGGCAAGAAGCACAACATTGGGTCAGAGCCAGAAAAATAAAGAGATGCGAGTGACACCTCTATTATAACAACTGCTGGTTTAGTCATCTTCAGAGATCCCTCCTTTGTAAAGAGATACTTAGAGCAGTACTTCAAGGCTTGAAAACTTCTCCAGTTTTTAAAGAGATGTGCCTTGGTGAGGCTTTTCTTCTTAAATGAGTATTTAAATAAGCAATATGATATTCCCTATTCCATTTGGAACATGCTGTTCTCAGAGTCTAGCCTTGCTCTCAGAGGTGAACCTCTGAGAAACATGAATTAACATGAGGGTAATGGTAAAATCCTAAGAGCTGTTAATCCACCAAGAGACCAGGGAGGAAGAAGAAAGGAAAAACAAGGAGTAAACCTACCCTCAGGCACGGGGATCTGCATATGGTCTATCCAGAGTGGTACCTATGCTACGTCTTTCACTGGTCACAGCCCTTGTGGGGAACTCCAGACACTGCTCAGCCCTTTGGAAAATGCTGACACTGATTTAGATGCCAGAATAGAGACAGGAAAGTCTTATTTAAAGCTTCTATTTTTAAAAGGCTGGGTGTAGCATAAAGAGTTGTGTGTTTGGGTGGGAAACCCAAGTTTAGCAACGCATCATGCACATTGCTTTCATCAGAACTTACTCATTCAGGAGAGTTGCACAACCCACTTCCACAGAAGCATCACTTAAAATACAAGTCTGTTAATGAATTGCTTCATAGCGAGATGCAGCCTCCTGCTCCACACCACGTTGCATGGACCAGGGAAGTCCTCTTCATTTCAGATCTTCTAATGGAGGCCCATGGGGCTAATCCTGCCCACAGAGGACATCTCTACAGCCCTGACTGAACTGCCTGTGCCTATGAAACACTCCATTTACAACTGAACTCCCTCTGCAACCTCCAGTTATTCTTTTACCCTACAAAGTTCTCCTCTTGCAGCTCCAGGCTCCTTGGGGCAAGACTGTCTTTAGTGTATCTGCACAGACATATGACATTCAGTTTCATTTAGACCTTGTAAGTACAGCTGTAATATTTAAAATGTCTTAAAAAGGATGAAGAATGACTTTGGGTGGTATTAATCTGAACAGTTTCAAACTGAAAAGGTCAAACAAAGGTGAGTCTATTTATCTTAAAAGCTTCCATCAAACAGCCCCAATCCAGCTTCAGATAATATCTCAGGATGTCACTCCAGCTGAGAAATAGTATCCTAAGGAAAACAGCTATAATAAGAGCATGTAATCAAACAAGTATTTTGAAGCCAGTCTTCTGCATTCCAGTTTTAGAAGGAATACTATCAAATCCTGTTTGCCTTTGGGACCTTTACTTCACCTGTTCCAACAGCTAGGAGTACAACTGCGAGACATCCTCATCAGACATGATACAGTGCACATAATATTAACAGACTGAAAGATCCATCACAGACACAGTGGTAACACTGTATAGCTTTACTCACCCCAGCATCTCAGAACTGTGTTTCTGGAACAAAAAGCACTGTTATCAAAACTTGCAGGATGGACAACAGAGGCTCAGTTATTTGGCAAGCAGCAGACTGTAGATCAGCACACACCAACCAAACCCACACACAGTTCTACAGACACAGCCACATTTTATTGCTAATAACTCATCCTATTACCAAAAGGCTGCTACAAAAGGTGTTAAAGTATTAGCTTTATGTACAAGCAGTAGAATATGCATGGCCTTCCAGCTAAAGCTCCAGCCTTGGCATCAGGATTTCAGCCTTAGTTCCACCCTCTGAAAGGTGTATAACTTTGCACAGCCCTATAGCCACTCCAGTCCTATTTCCTGCTTGCAGAATGAGAACTGCTACTTGCTTTCTCACACCCACAACAAAGCCAGCATGACTGTGTTAAAGTTTGACTTGGGATCTACATGAAACACAACACAAGCGCAGACTAAACCCATTGGCCAACACTGCACTGTATCTTGTAGCCTGGAACTTTTAATGTACACAGTCAGGCATAATAACTTCTAACTCATAACTTTTACAACTCCAGAGCAGGTGTTCAGATTCTAACAGTGGAGGAGGAAAAGGTGCTTCTTTTAATTTACCATGCAGATACACTTTTCAATGTTGCCCAATATTCTTTCACTTGGGACCATCTCCCTGTAGCCTTGACTTGACACAAGCACAGAAAAGGTAACACTAAGAATCACATTTGACAACCAAGCCATCAGTTGGGTTTTTTTTATAGCCTGAAGAGTCCAAACCACTGGGTTTTGTTCTGTATGGCAATCAAGGGACTGAAGGAAGGTAAAAAGCTGAATGGTAGGATGAGTTCATCCTTGGTCATGGAAAAAGAGCGCTACTTGCCACTAAAGCTTTGCAGAGCATCAGTGCTTCAGCTGAAAGCAGTGTGACAGAGGTCTGAGTCATTCAATCAGCTGTCTGGGTCACGTACACATTGTTGTGGTCATTTTCAGGCATCATTGCCCTTGGTTTCCTCTGTGTAACAAGACCCCTCCCACTCGCCCTTCTCTGTTCCTCATATCAAAGGGGTTTCTGATAAGTGTTAAATGACTCAGACTTTGCACTAGACACGGCGCTGTTTCATCATGAGCATGAAAGAGGCAGTGACAGAAGGTCAACTATCAAAATCCTTCAGAAGCACCTTGCCCTGAGGATACACAGACTCTGCAAGCTTGACTCAGAATGGATCATGGCTGTCTGCTCTGCACCCAGTCACATCAACCTCCGACCCCAGTTCAGACCTGCAACAGAAGTTTGAACTCTCCTAAAGCAAGAATAAAATAGGGGGATTTATTTTTCCTGTTAATGCAAATACCATTGCTTACCTCTGTATAATCTCTCCCTGTACTGTAGGCTGGTTATGTTCCAAAAGGTGACATTTTCAGTTTTTCTGTTCCACATATACAAGGTATTTCACAGAATGGTTTGTGTTGGAAGGGACCTTTAAAGCTCATCCAGTTCCAACCCCCTGCCATGGGTAGGGACACCTTCCACTAGAGCAGGGTGCTCCAAGCCCCTGTGTCCAACCTGGCCTTGAACACTGCCAGGGATGGGGCAGCCACAGCTTCTCTGGGCACCCTGTGCCAGTGCCTCACCACCCTCATAGTAAAGCATTTTTTGCTAATCTCTAATACAAATCTTCCTCTGTCAGCTTAAAGACATCCCCCCTTGTCCTGTCTTCTGCCAAAGTTTCAGATACTTATGCCGCTGGCTTCATCAACTGGCAGCATAGCCAAGAGATACCAAACCTAAAGTATTACCATCCTTCTCATCATGGCCCTTTATTACAGAGTAGCTTTTAAACATGGAGACCTACAGATCCACTGTGGTAAAGATCAGCTTTACTCAACAGCTTTGCGAGTACTGTCTAGTACTCATTCCAGGGTTTGAACTGACTGGGGGGGTTTATTAGTAATGGAGGGATACAACAGATCCGTGCATTACTACTTCAACTACAGCCTGTGAAAAGCATTCTTCTGTAGCATAACAAAACACATCTGCCTGCCTGGTGTGTCTCAAAGGCAGACTCCAGAAGTTTCGTTACAAAACAGTGCAAGTTCTCCACACGGAGAGATGGCACAGTTCTTACACTTGATGCCATTATATGAAAGACTAGTCTCTGATGACCAGCTATAAGACATGGGGATACAACACTGATATTCCCTCCTTAGTTTTATCACAGTCTTCACCTGGAATCTAAGCCAGGATACTCAGGACAGCACCAACAGCTTCTTACCTTCACAGCTTTAATAAACCCAGAGGTGCCAGATACAGATGTCCCTGCAAGTATTTTACAAACATCTCCATGTAACTTTTACCTCAAAGCCTATGCTAAGCTCACCCACTGCCCTCCAAACTCAGGGCACTCTCATGAGCAGTCACTTGGAAAAGCTGCAGTGAGGAAGTGCCTAAAGAATCTTGGGGGAAATACAGCCCTTGCCACAAGTTGATACCATCCCCGTTTCTGTTCTGGATCTGGTTTTGACACAGCCTGACACACCCCAAGTGGGAAAGTCTGCTTAGGGAGAAGGAAGAAATACTATGTCTGCTACATAGAGGATGTGAAGAGAATCTATGTAAAGCAGATTGGATGGGAAGCAGATGCATCCGTGAGCTGAAGTGACCCCAACGGTACCTAAAGTTTAATACTGAGCAAATTCTTTTCCCCATAGTTAAGGTAAGATCATAACAGATATACAGAGGCCTACCAAGAAGACAAGACACTTTCTCCACACCTTGTGTTTGTTCATAGTAACATAAGCACAAGAAAAAATAAAGCCTCCCATGCCCACTGGTGATAACTTAAAACAGCAGCATAGTACAAGGAGAGAAGAGCTACAGAAAGTGTATTGTAAGAAGAATTAAGTCTTTTACTGAAAAATGATTATTTATTATTCTGTCTTTGTGATGCTACATTCTCATGCTCTCAAAATACACATTTAGCTACTAAGAGCCTCCTAGCTATAGGCAGTTAGGAGACCCCATAGGAAAAGGAATCAAACTCCAAACAGATCATGTGCAGTCTTCACTAACTCCAAGAATGAAGTCATGGGTTATCTATATCCCATTAGCCTTATTCCTGACTAGCAGAGCAGTTTATCTTAGAAACTGTCTGAGAAGGTGCAAATAGAGGTTTCCTGTCTTTTTCCATAGGACTTCTGGCAGAGAAAAGTTGCTGCTCAATTACATTTTCCCCACTCACCATCTCAAACGATAGTAGAGTTACAGGTGTTCAAATCCTATTTCCTCTGCCTCCTGTGAGCATGCTGTCTCCAAAACAGGCCTTAACTTTGCACCTCCTCAGAAGTAAACCATCACTACCTTTAATGCAGTGGGTATGGTCAATGCTGAGTGAAAATCCACCCACTTCCCAGCACCTAAACCTTGTAATAGTGTATGCTAGATTCAAAGAGAACTTACCCAAAGTTCTTTGTCTTCTGGCTTTTTTCCAGGTCTTTTCCTCTTCATCCAGCTCCTCCAGCACATGGCGAGCGCATCTCCCTCTCAAAGGGATCTGGCACATGGATTGAAGGGCATTTTCTCCAGAGCAGTGCAGAAGGAACAGGCGCCATAGCCCTCCTGGCACAGCAGGACAAGGCTGGTACCAACCTCCACGGTCTCTTCCCTCGAGGTAATTATTCACAGGCAACTGGAGATAAAAAAACAACAACAAAACAGTGCTCAGGCTTAGAAGAGGTCAAGACTTGGACCAACCTGGAGATGAGAGTCAATGTTTGCTAATACCTCTGGCCTGGCAACCACTTTTGCTTACATTTGCTATCTCTCAAGCATCTTTTTTGCCCGATTTAATCAAGGCCCTGCAGTTCTGCCCACAGCATGGGTGCTTTATTTGTTTAAATAAGAAGCCACAAGGATTTGCTTCAGAGCTGAGCAGCAGCAGCAGACTCAACTGTTTACAAGCTTCCCCCTGGACTTCTGCATCCTGTCTCTGATTAGGCAGAATGGAGCACCAGGAAAAGCTTCTTAGTTCTGTGTCCCTCCCACACAGGTAATGCAGAACAAGGTCACATAGAAAGAAAGAGCACAAACCAGGATCTTTTGTCTCAGTGACAACTATTTAAGCTTTTCTAACTATTGAAAGCAACTCAGACCTGAATTTGATGTTACTTCATGGGCTCTTCTGCTAAATGTGAGTTTCTCATCTGCATACATACTTGTATTATAAAAAATAATAAAAACCAGGTAGCTTACCAAACTGTGCTATGAAAATCCAAAAACCATTGGAGTCAAGACACTGCCAAGGAGCAGTAAAAGCAGAGCTGCTCCATATGAAGGGTCAAGCAAGGACTGGAGGGTAACCCCTTCACTGCTCCCATTACATCATTCATGCAAGGACTGAACACCTACCCTGAGCTTAACTACAGAATTGGTCCCAGGTGAGCCTGGCTGGGGCAATTGAAGGCCTGTCTGTGCCCTCAGGTGACTGAGAGCCCTAAATAGGCATGAACTATCAAGTGCCTGCCTTAAAGCATGTCTGATACCTACACAATTTTGGTGCATGCACAGGCAATCTGAATCCCAGAATCCCAGGTTGGTTTGGGTTAGAAGGGACCTTAAAGCTCATCCAGTTCCAACCCCTGCCACAAACAAGAACACCTTCCACTAGAGCAGCTTGCTCCAAGCCCCTGGTCCAACCTGGCCTTGAACACTGCCAGGGATGGGGCAGCCACAGCTTCTCTGGGCTCAGTGGCTGAATCTAGGACAGCAATAAGGGGAGCAAATATCCTGTGATTTTACCTGTGCTTTCACAACTTCTTATCTGCTTTGTTCTAACCAAAGTTACTGTTGCACATAGAGTATCAAAGATGCATCATTTACACCTTTATGGCCTCTGGGGGCTCTTTAGTCAGATGAGTTTAATCTGAAAGAACTTTTCCTTTCTATTCTTTATTTCTCTTTCCAGTATTTAGTTTGGTTTTATTTCCTCACTGTGTTTCATCTAGCCACTACACCATCAAGCAAGTCAAAGGTTCAAGGCAAGAGAGGTTTTCTGCTTGAATCCACCGCGAAGAAGCACCTTGACTATCTCCAGCCAGCTCATCCCGCTTTTACTCCGTACATCACAACACATCCCTACATCTCAAACACACCTTCCTACTCTTTGGCATGGCACCCGCAGAACTAAGCTTAGTTTCTCCCTGTAGCCTCCAATCTCTCAACAACCACAGAGAAACAACAACCCCCTGCACACCCAAGGCGGCTCCATGAAGCAATAACAAGTATACCCAATGAGATATATATATATACACACGAGGCTCCATGGCCTTGGGGTTGCGGTGTTCTATTGACAGGGTGGAGGGCAAGGAGGGAGGGATCAGCTTTCCCCTACCTGCCGGCTCGGCGGTGCCCGCCGAGCGGAGCGGGGCGGAGGGAAGGGAAAGGAAGGGAAGGGAAGGGAAGGGAAGGGAAGTGCCGCCTACCCCGAGGGTGCCGGCGGCGGGGCCGGGCCGGGCTCTGCTCCTCCTCTCCTCTCCTCTCCTCGCCGTCCCGCAGACGCCAGGTGTAAGCGAAGGGAGCGGGAGCTGGGCCGGGAGGAGCGGGACGGCGCTGCCATCGGAGACCGCAAGTGAGCGACTGGGGGAGCCGGGAAGGGCGGTTCGCTGCCGGCCGGGAGCAGGAGCGGGTGAGGGCCCTTGGCGGGGCCGGAGGGGGGATGCAGCCAGGTTGATTTCAGGTTTAATTGTTGAGGTTTTAGTTGTTTTCGAATGATCATAGCAATAATCGTCATAATCCGAAAGTAAGTGCCCTGCGGGGAGCCTTCCCCGTCGCTCCCGCCGCGGCACCCGGCACTTCCTCAAATCCCGGGGGGAGCTGGGTTGGTGCCGCACAGCCCCTGAGAGGTGCCTAGAAATACTCTGGTTTCTCCCCTTTACCTTACAGTGGGTCTGTTCCTGCTCCAGTACAAGTAACATCCTGTATTTCCACATAGAGGCTCAACTTCGGGGCTGTAAGGGCTAACATTCGTGGGGAGCTCGCAATTGCTGCTTGTCTATAGCTGTGTTGGCTCAGATGCTCTGTAGAAAGCCTGACTAGAGCCAGCGGTAGCCTGCAGGTACGTTTCTGGCCTTTCTGCGCTCCCCATGCCAGGCCCTACAGCCACAACCCACGTGGAGGCAGGGAGTTGGGCTGTGTGCCTGGAGAGGATCCAGTCTTGACCTGAAGGTCTCCAAACATGGGAGTGTCTACGGCCTGTCCTGGCACCTTGGGTTTGTTTGGGTCTTCATCCACCCTACTTCGTTGTCCTTGTGCTTAGCTCACCCCTTTTTCCAGCCTAAGCGTTGTTTGTGGTGCGTACTCTGATAGATCTACTCGTGTTTGTGTTTTCTGATCATCAAACTGAAGCCTCCTGGTTTGAAGAGGAAGCAGGGAAGGAGCAGCTTTAGGGAATGACAGAGTGCCAGGATTACCTGCACTTGAGGCCATGGTTTCCCAAGCCAACGTGAATGAGAGAAGGAGTTTCACCCACCCCTTGGGCTGCTCATTTTCACCCATGTCAGCACAAGCATTTGTACACGGCATTAGCCTGGGAAGCTGAACCTAATTTAAGATGGGAAAAAAAACAAATCCAGAGCAGGCACAAGAGGGCAGATGCAGCACTTCTTTCCTGTAACAATACTGGCTTATAGTGGAGAAAGTGTAGGCAAAGGTATATATAGTTCCTCTGCCAGATTTCATTCCTGTGCTCCTGCAGTGAAATCACACAGTTCTCATGCTTAGGCCAGCTGTAGATTTATTCATTTAAAGCTGTTACTGATGTTTATGAGCATTTTCACCTTTCTGAAGTCAGGGGGTTTGTTTTGCTGTGAATACAGTGCAGTGATGACTGTTCTCTTGTCTCACCTTGTACTGTTCTATGCTGAAAGCCTCATCAGCCTGGGAGCCCATCTCAGGAGATGTGTACTGGACATGGTGCCTTTGGGAGGGGGACAGCCCTTTCCTCTGCCTCTAATGCAGACCTGTGCTACCAAATCCATGTGGCACACATGCAGCAGCACAAGTTCAAAATCCCAGCTTTATCCCAGAGCCATAGTGTTTTCCAATATCCAACTCAATGTCTATATTTACCAAGGCAAAACAAACTTACATCCCGGAGAAGTATCAGCCCTTGTTGGTTTAGTAACTGGTGTAAAGGTGTAGGCTGGCACATCCAAGAACTTAACTAACAATATCATTTGTTCCTCGGTGTGAATTAGCCTTTTGGAGTCATATGGGTATGAAGTTGCTGGGTTTTAAGCTGGGGCTATCTATAAGTCATTGTGATTTTAGAATGTCAGGGCAGATTCCCAGCACTCTTCTACTGAAACTCCTCCTTAAGGTGATTTTCCCCTAAGAGGATGGTTTTGAGCTGGACAGATTATTCCATTTACATTGTCATTCATTTAGGGGGGTGTCAATCTAATCTTTAACAGATACACTTTCACTGCCTTTTGGAATCACTGTTCCTTATTAGTAGAATTTGTCATTGTCACCACATTTGTATTACCCTTTCATACCAATTTTTACACCAGTACCATTGACATTGGGCCCAAAGGAGCTCAAGGAACCAAGTCTACAACATTAGGATTCTGAGAACGAAATTAAACAGAGTTATATTAACAGAGTTAAATGAGTGTCCCTGAAACAGTCAGATGACTGATTCTGCCATGCAAATATTGCATGGTACATAACAAAATACCAAAAGTCTTCCTGTTGAAATTCTTAAACCATAAGATGTTAAGGAACGTGAATAACACCTGAATTCTGGGGAGGATTAAGCCCTAAGCTGGCTGTTTAGGTGCAAGAGCTTCCCTGCACCTCTAACCTCAGGATGAACATTGAACTGAGCTCTGCCCCGGGGCAGTATCTTGTGGCACTAAAACCCTCTTTTATTATCTAATAGGCAGCATAAAGCCTTGTTGTTAGAAATTGGGTAAGTAGATGAACTTACATTTTCACCCTGTTTCTAGGAGTGCTATATTTAACCTTTACCTTAATTTTATATTAGTGTAACCTAAACTAGTCTGATGTTATCCTGCAGTCAGCCCTAGAAAACATCATTCCTTCTCTCACTCCTCCCCTATGACAACTGTCCTTGATTTTTCTACTTCTGACCTGACTGTCAGGCTAAAGGTTATGTCTGTATAGGGCACCGTTAGTACAGTCTCTGTCTGTGACATGGCTTCTCAAGTATTGCTAAAAGGCTGCAGTAAGTGGAAGTCATCCACTTTATTCCCTAAGCTTCAGCTGCAAAGGGTTGGTTATGACAGGATGCTGAGTGTTAACCTGGTTAAATATCACAACTCCTTCCTGCAGCATCAGTCACCTTATACCTACAAGCTCATTCTTCAGGAATCAGCAGAATTCTGATGATGATAACCAAAGCTGCTACTCTGAGCATCTTCTCTAGCTTGGCTTGGCATGATTACTGTTTACTTGTCCTGGCAGGAGTATGGTGGGATCGCAGACCATTCACCCTGCTGAGACAGGATACATCCTATCTCTTTGTGCAAGCACTGAGCACAAACTGCAGTTACGTGTCTGGATATTGCTGGCAGAGAGCCACTAAAGTCATTTGTCTCCCCTCACATCTACCCAGATAGGTCAGACTAGAGGACCAAGCTGGCAGAGTTGCAAGTGTAAATGTCTATTTGCAGTGAGAATTACAGCTGTATGTGTACAAGTCAGTGAAATTCCTTTGTTCAATGGACAGATTGCCAAAACAGATCCCACCCTCAATGGAGGGTTTATGGTGTCCAGACTGGCAGATTAGCAGTGTGTAGTGAGGAAACCCAGGCAAACCAGGCTATCTCTGCCCAACTGCAGGCATTAGAGCCGGGGAGGGGGTGAA